CAGGACTCAATCCCAGCCACTCTGATACGGATTTGCGGCTGCCCAAGTGGCAGCTTTATCTAATCCACCGTGCAACAACACCCATTCCTAAAGCACGGCTTTAAGATTCATTTTCCAGAAATGATTTATAATCAAACTTACATGACAATTTAGTAAGAAGATGTTTTGAAAATATGCTTTTAGGAATGATTGCTCTGCCAGCGCCGTGGCTTACTTGGTTAATCCTCCGCCTGCAGCGCCGGCACCCAGGGTTCTAGTTCCGGTTGCCCCTCTTCCAGGCCAGCTCTTTGCTGTGGCCCTGGAAGGCAGTGGAGGATGGCCCAAGTCCTTGGGCCCTGCACCCTCATCGGAGACCAGGAGGAGGCAGCTGGCTCCTGGCTCCAGATTGGCGCAGCGCCCTGGCTGTAGCAGCCATTTGGGGAGTGAACCAATGGAAGGAAGACCTTTCTATCTCTCTCTCTCTCACTGTCTAACTCTGCCTGTCAAAAAAAAAAAAAAAAAAAATGATTGCTCATTGGTATAAATGCTTATGTATATATGTTGTCCTGTATTCATTACAGAATCAGAATTTGTAGTTTACCATTTGTTAACCTCTGAAAATTCTATGCTCCTTTATTTCTTAGCTTTTTTTCCCTCTCATGAATTATTGTTACCTTATTTTTGTCCTCATAGCTGTGGGGATTTTGACCAGCTCTAAATTCTGTCATTTGTATTAGAAATCATAGAGGTTTTGTTATTTTATAAATATAATTTATATTATAATATTATATATAAAAACATTTTTGCCTGCCTTTTCAAAACTTCCTCAAATGGAAATAATTTGTCTTCTCTACTGTCAGATTTTATGCTTTTATAAAATATGCTTGTAACAAATAAGGCAGGAAAATTATTAGACCACTTCTTTCAATTATTATTCTTTATTCTTTTTTTTTTTTTTTTTTTTTGGACAGGCAGAGTTAGACAGTGAGAGAGAGAGAGACAGAGAGAAAGGTCTGCCTTCCATTGGTTCACCCCCCCAAATGGCTGCTACGGCCGGCACGCTGCACCGATCCAAAGCCAGGAGCCAGGTGCTTCTCCTGGTCTCCCATGTGGGTGCAGGGTCCAAGGACTTGGGCCATCCTCCACTGCCTTCCCGGGCCACAGCAGAGAGCTGGACTGGAAGAGGGGCAACCGGGAAAGAATTTGGCGCCCCAACCGGGACTAGAACCTGGGGTGCCAGTGTCGCAGGCAGAGGATTCACCTAGTGAGCCACGGTGCCGGCCTTTATTTATTCTTAAAAATTTCTATCTACTTTTCATTTTATTTGAAAGTGGAAAAGAAAGAGAATGAAATATCTACTGTCCACTGATTTCACCCCTCAAATGTTTGCAAGAGATAGTGCTGGGAGAGGCCAAAGCCAGGAGCCAGTAAGTCAGTCCTTTTCTCCTAGGCTGCTCAGTACTTGAGCCATCACCTGCTACCTCCAAGGGTGCACTTAGCAGGAAATTGGAGTAGGAAGTGGAGCCAAGACTTGACCCCAGATATTCCAAAATGGGATGTGATAGCCCAAGCAACGTCTTAACTCCTCTGCCAAATGCTTGTCTTTTTTTTTTTTCTAAATCTATTTATTTATTTGAAAGCAGAATAACCAGAGAGAGAAGGAAAGGCAGAGAGAAAGAGAGATCCTCCATCCACTAGTTCACTCCTCAATTGGCCGCAACAGCTGGAACTGTGCTGATCTGAAGCCATGAGCCAGGAGCCTCCTTTGGGTCTCCCATGTGGGTGCAGGGGCGCAAGGACTTAGGCTATCTTCCAGTGCTTTCTTAGGCCACAGCAGAGAGCTGGATCAGAAGTGGAACAGCCAGGTCTCGAACCAGTGCCCATAAGGGATGCCAGCACTTCAGACCAGGGTGTTAACCTGCTGTGCTACAGCGCCGGCCCCTGTCTTTGAATATTAGCATCTCAGTAATGATAGGAATTGAATCATCTGGCTCAATTTAGAAATCTTTTTTTTTTTTTTTTTTGGACAGGCAGAGTGGACAGTGAGAGAGAGACAGAGAGAAAGGTCTTCCTTTGCCGTTGGTTCACCCTCCAATGGCCGCCACGACTGGCGCGCTGCGGCTGGCGCACTGCGCTGATCCGATGGCAGGAGCCAGGTACTTATCCTGGTCTCCCATGTGGGTGCAGGGCCCAAGCACCTGGGCCATCCTCCACTGCACTCCCTGGCCACAGCAGAGAGCTGGCCTGGAAGAGGGCCAACCGGGACAGAATCCGGCGCCCCGACCGGGATTAGAACCCGGTGTGCCGGCGCCACAAGGCGGAGGATTAGCCTAGTGACCCGCGGTGCCAGCCTCAATTTAGAAGTCTTAATGTGTATTGTCAGATAGCATTTGAGATGTGAAGAAGAGTAAAGATATGCTGGTCTTTTGATTACTTCCATTTGTGTTAGATTTTTTAGGAATGGTTTCAATGTTTCAGGCTGCTAAGGCACTGTTTAATACAACATGGCACTGTAGTACTGAATTTTTTTTTAAATGCTACTGCACCATTTAATGATTATATGGAGTAATGAAACAACGCTATCATAGTCTGTTTTGTGCTGCTGTAACAAAATACTACAGATGGATAATTTATAAAGAGCAGAGATAAATTTCTCACACTTCCTGTGGCTAGGAAGTACAGGATTAAGGTGCAAACAGGTTAGGGCCTGGTCTGTCTGCTTCCAGGATCTTGAACATTATATCCTACAAATAGGAGGAACACTGTGTCCTCACCTGGCAGAAGAGAAGAGAATGAATGCAGTCCCAAAAGCCCTTTTGTAGCTACATTAATTCCATTCGTGAGGGTAACGTTCTTAATGACCTAAGCACTTTCCATGAGGTCCTACCTCTCAACACTGTTGTATTGGAGATTAAGTTGCAATGTGAATTTGGAGGGCACAAAAGCACTCAAAACATAGAAAACATAAGAGTTGATTCTTGGTCAGGAACTCTGAGTTCCTGAGTCTGAGATTTATCCTACTTGCAAGCTAACAGATTTCATGAGTGTTTGCAGAAGACACAGAATTCATGGGTTAGAGTCAAAGCACAGAGTACGTAGCAGAAGAAGTTAGACCTGTTCCCTGAACATTATATTTGGAGAGTGACACTTGGGTCCCTGGAAGGTTACGTTGTAAAAGGGCAACCTTAAACCTGAATCTTACAGTGGACACTAAGGATGTCTGTCCTTTGCTTTGGAGGGAGACACTGTGTTTTCCTCTATAAAATAACATCCTTCAAATGATAGTCATGAACAGAGGCATCTCTTCTCTCAAGAGAAGCAAAAATGCAAGATGTGTGAAGAATAATTATCTTTCAATATTTTGAAAGGCAGAAAACCAAAAGCTATTTGTAAGATAGGCCTAAGTAACTGACTTATAGATTTTAGATAACACTATGATACATTATTGTTTTTGAGTACCTTTGTACTAGGCCTCAGTTTTTTCTTAGTAGTAGAAAATACTCAACCCTCTGTTTTTGGAAGTTTGTGTCTACCTTTCTTGCATCCCTTTTTCTGTTTTTGAAAGTTCAAGTAAGTGAAGGCAAGTGAAATAATGAAGTGATAATTTAGTAAAAACTCATTGAGACCTAATGTTTTGGACAAAAGAGGTTAAAAAATGATGAGCTAGTTATGTTGTAGGCCAGCTTTACGCACTCCAGCTGGGTTTCTAAGAGACCTCTGAGGCTAAAATTATTCAGTGTAGAACTTCATAGTGAATGGGAACATAAATGTAGCACCTCATTAAAAAGGACCCTAGCACAAAGAACATGTAGGGACTTTCTAACATTCAAGGTTGTTGTCACAGATGAAAGAGCTCTAAATCTTACAGCCCAGTAGTAGGGCTTTCAGTCTTGCTAGTGTTTAAATGCCAAAGCAAATAGCAAAAACAAAGACTTAGTGTCTAATTTTTCAGGTCAGTATGATCTCTCTTAACTTACTTTGGAACTATCCAAACTTGACTTTGTTGAGCATCTTTTTGGTTCCTTTAGTGTGTTATAATTCTGACTATAACCTCTGTCTCTTCCCATTAATTATCTTTGTTTATTTCAGTGCTTACTACAATGATGGACTTTCTGAAGATTTGCCTTTTGCCATCATTCCTTCATCTTTGATCCCTGTGGCATTTTTCCATGTAGATCCCCTTCCACTCCTGTAAAACTGGTCTCCTGTGTGCACGTAACTCTGAAGAATATTTCTGTCTTACTTTTCAAAACCACATTGTTTTCTGGCAACTGAATATTTCTTTTTTTCTTTTTATCTTTTTTTTGACAGGCAGAGTGGACAGTGAGAGAGAGAGACAGAGAGAAAGGTCTTCCTTTGCCGTTGGTTCACCCTCCAATGGCTGCTGTGTCCAGTGCGCTGATCTGAAGGCAGGAGCCAGGTGCTTCTCCTGGTCTCCCATGGGGTGCAGGGCCCAAGCACTTGGGCCATCCTCCACTGCACTCCCGGGCCACAGCAGAGTGCTGGCCTGGAAGAGGGGCAACCGGGACTAGAACCCGGTGTGCCGGCACCGCAAGGCGGAGGATTAGCCTATTGAGCCACGGCGCCGGCCCTGAATATTTCTTTTTAGCTGTTCTCCCAGTACCTCACAAACATTGTGATTCTAGTTTGAGTGTATTCAACAAAAGGGCAGAGTTTGTAAAAGGCCTATATTTTAATATTTTATTCTTTGGAAAGAAGTTCTCCAAATAGATTATTTTTTAAACCCTGTAATGGATGTTATTTTATGAGTTGTATTCATGTTCATAAAGTATCTGTCTTCTCGTGTTTAATACCAGTTTTTCACAGTTTCACTGCCAAAACTAAGGATTTGGATTTTTACCTTTGGTCTACACATTTTCCATCTCCTTTCCTTCTACACACAAGCACGAAATTTTTTCAGTACTATAATATGAATGGGGTTAGGTGTTATTTTTGTTGGTAATGATTCATTCTATATTTGTGGAGTAGAATATAAATCATATGTTATTTCCTCTTTGCAGGTCTCCGGGCCTTTCGGAGAGTCTTTGATAAACATCCTAACCTCCCTGATAGCAAGATGGCTGGATTGGTAAAGATCAGCCTAAGAGATTTCTTGCAGGCAATGAATGAAATCAGGCCCAGTGCCATGAGGGAGGTTGCAGTTGATATCCCAAATGTAAGTAATTTATATCTCACATTAGCCACGCTATTTGAATTAAACTGTGAAAGACACTATGACCCTAGGGAGACTGCTTCCTATGCTAACATTCTTTTAAGAATTTTTTTGTAATTGGAGTTTTTGTTGAGATAATTTTAGATGCAGTACAGTTGTCTCTTTTATCCAGTTTCCTCCATTGGCAACATCTTACAAAACTGTGGCAATACTAGAGCCAGTATTATATATTTTTTTATTTAGGATATTTCCTAAAGCCAGTATTACATTTTTTCATTTATGATATTGCTTACAGAGTTATTTATTTATTTGAAAGGCAGAGTTAGAAAGAGGAAGAGACAGAATTGGTTGACTGCCCAGAAGGCTTGCAATGGCTTGGGCTGGGCCAAATGGAAGCCAAGAGCTAGGAACTCCATCTAGGTTTCCTGTGTGGGTGGCAGAGGCCCAAGCATTTGAGTATGTATCCCTTATCTGAAATACTTAGAATAAAAAATGTTTCCAAGTTTGGACTTTTTTGAATTTGGGAAAATTTGTATAGACTTAACTAGTTGAGCATCCCTATTCCTAAAATCAGAAATCTGAAATGCTCCAAAATCTGAAACATTTTGAGCATCACGTTGATGCTCATAAAGTTTAAGATTTAGGACAGATAGAAATGGTACATTTTTGTAGTGAACAGCATGATGTTTTGATATTGAGGGATTCTACAACATTTGTGGAAAAATAGTTTTGGGGGCTGATGCTGTAGTGTAGTAGGCTAAGCCTCTACCTGAGGTGCCAGCATCCCATGTGGGCGCTGGTTCGAGTCCCAGCTGCTCCTCTTCCAATCAGGCTCCCTGCTGATGGCCTAGGAAAGCAATGGAAGATGGCCCAATTGGTTGGGCCCCTGCACTCATGTGAGACACCAGGAGGAGGTTTCTGGCTTTGGATCAGCTGACCTCCAGCTGTTGTGCCCATTTTGGGAGAGAGCCAGTGGATGGAACTGGCTCATGGTGGATGGAACTGGCTCATGGCAGATGTAACTGGAAGATGTAACTCTGCCTCTAAATAAAATCCTAAAAACAAAAAAAAAAAAAAGGAAAAGTAGCTATAAAAGATAAAAAGAGGGGCCTATGATGCGGCTCAGCAGGTAAAGCCAACATCTGCAGTCGTAGCATCCCATATGGGTGCTAGATAGAGTTCCGGCTGTTCTGCCTGTGATCTGGCCCCCTGGTAGTGCACCTGGGAAGGCAGCAGGGGATGGCCCAGGTGTTTGGGCCCCTTCACCCGTGTGAGGGATGTGAGGAAGCTCCTGGCTCCTGGCTTTGGCCTGGCCCAGCCCTGATCATTGCGGCTATTTGGGGAGTGAACCAGCGGATGGAAGACCTCCCTCTTTGTCTCCTCTCTCTCTGTAACTGTTACTATCAAATAAATAAATTTATATATTTTTTTTTATTTGACAGGTAGAGATATAGACAGTGAGAGAGACAGACAGACAGATAGAAAGGTCTTCCTTCCGTTGGTTCACTCCCCAAATAGCTGCTACGGCCGGCGCTGTGCCGATCTGAAGCCAGGAGCCAGGTGCTTCTTCCTGGTCTCCCATAGACAGTGAGAGAGAGAGAGACAGAGAGAAAGGTCTTCCTCCTGTTGGTTCACCCCCCAAATGGCCGCTATGGCTGGCGCTGTGCCAATCCGAAGCCAGGAGTCAGGTGCTTCTTCCTGGTCTCCCAGATGGGTACAGGAGCCCAAGCACTTGGGCCATCCTCCACTGCACTCCTGGGCCACAGCAGAGAGCTGGACTGGAAGAGGAGCAACCGTGACTAGAACCCGGCGCCCATATGGGATGCCGGCTCCACAGGCGGAGGATTAACCAAGTGAGCCACGGCGCCAGCCCCAAGAAATAAATTTTAAAAATAAAAATAGGGGCTGGTGCTGTGTGGCATAGTGGGTAAAGCTGCCGCCTCCAGTGCCTTCATCCCATATGGGCACTGGTTCAAGTCCCAGCTACTCCACTTCCGATCCAGCTCTCTGCTATGGCCTGGGAAAGCAGTAGAAGATGGCCTGAGTCCTTGTGCCCCTGCATCTGCTTGGGAGACCCGGAAGAATCTCCTGGCTCCTGGTTTCAGATTGACTCAGCTCCAGCTGTTGCAGCCATTTGGGGAGTGAAGCAATGAATGGAAGAGCACTCTCTCTCTGTCTCTTCTTTTCTGTGTAACTGACTTTCAAATAAATAAATAAATCTTTAAAAAAATAAAAATAAATAAAAAATATAAACTGTTTCTCAACATAAGCTCAGCAAATTCAAGACATTTTGAGTGATGATACCAGCCATTTGGTCCATCCCTAGGAGTCTGGGAAATTTAACTCCATCAATGTAGTCTTTGTTTTTTTACGTTGCAGTGGCTGGGGCTGGGCTGGGTCAAAGCTGGGGGCTGTGAACACAGTGCAGGTTTTCCACATGCATAGCAAGGATCTGACTACTTGAGCCATCACCTGCTATCTCCCTGCATTAGCAGGAAGCTAGAATCAGGAGCTGGAGCTGGGACTTGAACCAACTGTGGTTTGGGAGATGGGCATCTTAATTTCTAGGCAAATGCCTATCCCACTGTAATTTTTCAGTCAGAATTATGTAAGTGGAAACAGTTGAGATGGCTGTAATGTTAACTGTTGTTTATGCTGTAAATTGTTGGTCCCCTTCAAATAGGGCATGAATAGGATTGATTTTTTTCCCCTCACAAATTGATGTGAATGGCCTACCTCTGTGGGCTTCATCTTAAAATGACTTATCCATTTCTAAACTCTTGGTTTCCTTGGGGACATTGTCCCTTTAAACTTCTCTTAAAGCATTGATAGTTTCTCACCATTCTTCCATTGAAGTTTCACCATAAATTATTCTGTGTTTAATTTTAGCAGATTTGTAGTGCTCCTTTTTATTTTATTTTATTTTATTTTATTTTATTTTATTTTATTTTATTTTTTTGCTAGGCAGAGTTAGACAGAGAGAGAGAGAGACTGAGGGAGAGTTATAGACAGAGAGAAAAGTCTTCCTTCTGTTGGTTCACTCCTCTAATGACCGCCACGGCCAGTGCTGCGCCGATCCAAAGCCAGGAGCCGGGTACTTCCTCCTGGTCTTGAATGTGGGTGCAGGGACCCAAGCACTTGGGCCATCGTCCACTGCACTCCTGGGCCACAGCAGAGAGCTGGACTGGAAGAGGGGCAACTGGGACTAGTACCCGACGCCCCAACCGGAACTAGGACCTGGGGTGCCAGTGCCGCAGGTGGAAGATTAGCCAAGTGAGTCACAGCGCCGGCCTGTAGTTCTCCTTTCAAACTGATTTTTTTATCCTTCTTAGTGCCTTAAATTAGATCCTGTTCAGACATACTATAACAAGTTACTACTACTTTATTTTGATTTTAAAAAAAGTGAAATTGTACATCTTTTCTTCACAGTGTTTCCTCGAGCTTTTTAAAGATCCTTGTATCTGTTATACATTGTGAAGTGATTTTCAAAATCAAGCTATTTAACATATTATATCCATCATTAGCTCACATAATGATAATTTTTTTTTGTGATGAGAAACATTTAAAAATTTGACTCTTAGCAAATTTGAAGTATATAGTGCAGTGTTGACTCTAGTCACCATGCTATATTTTAGGTCTCTAAAACTTATTCATCCTATATAACTGAAATTTTTAAGCTCTTTGACCAGAAACTCCCCATTTTTCCTCATCCCTTCGTCTCTGGCGTTAACATAAACAAGATACAGGAAGACAATGTTACTTATTCCCTCAGGTTTATCTTCAGTATCCTAAGTGACAAGATTTCCTTCTTTATAAAGTCTAAATAATATTATAGCACCTTTTCTTTGTTTACTAATGTCAGTGGACACTTGGATTGATTTCATATCTTGTCTTTTATGAAATATGCTGCATTGATCATGGGAGTACAGCTATCTCTTCAAGATACAGATTTCTTTTCCTCTGGATATTTACCCTGAAATGGGATTGCTTTCAATTTTTTAAAGAATCTCCATACTGTTTTCCACAGTGGTTGTACTGGTGTACATTCCTGCAAGCAGTATAGAAGATTCCTTTTTCTCCATTTCCTTGCCAACACTTGTTTTATATTTATATAAATATATATATAATATATAAATATATAATATATATATAAATATATATATATGGTCTTTCTGGCAAGTGTTAGATGATATCTCACTCTGATTTTTATGATTTATTTATTTATTTGAAAGGCAGAGTTACCAAGAGGCAGATGCAGAAAGAGCCAGTGATCTTCCATCCGCTGGTTTACTCCCAAAATGGCCGCAACGGCCAGAGCTGGGCTTATCCGAAGCCAGGAGCCGATAGCCTCCTAGTCTCCTTGTGGGCACAGGGGCCCAAGGACTTGGACCACCTTCTGCTGCTTTCCCATGCAGTAGCAGGGAGCTGGATTGGAAGTGAAGCAGCTGGGACTCAACTGCTGCTGGCACTGCAGTCTGTGGCTTTACCTGCTGTGCCACAGCGCCCAGACCCCTCACTGTGATTTTGATTTGCATTTCTTTGATGTTTAGTGAAGTTGAACATTTTTTCCTATAACCCTTGGACATTTGTATGTCATTTTTAAAGAAATTTCTAGTTAGATTCTTTATTTTTTAAATTTAAAAGTTCATTTTAATGTTTATTTTTATTTGAAAGGCAGAGTGGCAGGGGAGGGGAGGGAGAGATAGAGAAGGGGGGATAGAGAGAACTTGAATCTATTGGTTTATTCCCCTGATGCCTGCCAACATCCATAGCTGAGCCAGGCTATATTTTGTAGTCTTGTATTTTACAGAAGCCTGCAGCTTCATGTGGGTGTACCGAGTGGGTGGCAGGCACTCAGGTACTTGAGCCGCCACTTGATGCTTCCCAGGGTGCTCATTAGCTAGTTGGATCAGAAGCAGAGTAGCCAGGACTTGAATCAGGCAGTGTGATGTGGAATGTCACCAGCCCAAGCAGTGGTTTAACTTGCTGCTCCACAATGCCTG